GGCCCAGCCGCTCCGCAGCATGTGGGATCTTCCCGGACCGGGGCACGAACCCGTGTCCCCTGTATCGGCAGGGGGGGGGGGGGCGGGGGCGGGCCCGGGCCCGGCTACGTACACAGCGCCGTGGTGAGCCGCTGGGGCTGGTTGTAGTGCACCATGGCCACGCACAGCGTGTTCAGGGCCACCACGCACAGCACCACCCAGTAGAAGCTCTGCGCTTTCACCAGACGCCGGATGAAGAACCGGAACATCTTCTCCTTCCTGCGGAAGTACGACGAGCTCTCCGTCTTCCCGCTCTTGAGGCTGGCTCGGGCGAAGGGGGACCCTGCGGGGACAGGGGCTCGCTGAGGACGCGGGGGACAGGCGCGCCGCAGGACACACGCGCCCTCCGCCCCTGTGAGCCCCGCGGATGCGTCCCCGAGGACGTGCATCCCCCACCCCACGAGGACGCTTGCCCCCAGCCCTGGCCCAGCTCGAGGCCCCAGTTTCCATCACAGGCACCAAGTGCGTCAGACCCGTTACCGACATTGTGCTAATGACCCGTGTCCCCTGCAGTGGGTCCTGACCCCACCCCCGCTTCACAAATGAGGGAACCCAGAGCCTCGGCGGTCTCCATGGCTGCTGGGTTCTGGGTGCGAGACCTGGATTGGAACCGGCCTCTCGTCCCCAGCGCCCCCGGCCACCGTCCAGGAGGGCAGCCCCGATGCTCCCAGGCCATTGCAACTCCTCCGTGCGGCCTGGGGAGCCCAGCTGCTTCTGGCCCTCCCTCCCTCTGTAGCTCAGGGGTCAGCAGCCACTGACCACCTGCTTTTCAAGGAGTTTTACTAGAACACAGCCAAGCTCCTTTGCATCTGGCCCAGCTGCAGAGCTAAGTGTGGTCCACAGAGCCCCCAAAGCTCAGTCTCCAGAAAGTTTGCCAAGGAAGCTGCTCCTCTGCCCCGACTCACCAGCCAAACCCACTGCCCCCACCGTCACTTCCATGCCCGCTGCACCTCTGCTCTGCCCCCACCGAGAAGCACTGCCCTCACTGGCTCCCTCTCAGCTCCACGTCCCGGCATCAATACTGCCCTTCTTTAGGCTCCAGCTCATAGGTCTCCAGCCCCCCAACAATCGCACCCTTATACAGCTGCACTGTGTCGGCTTGTTGGCCTGTTTCGTGCCCAACCCCTAGGCCACACTGAGCTCTGGGGGGACAGGGCCACCCTCTGCACCACCCAACCCCTCGCGCCACTTAACAAACGAGCAAGCAGACTTTGTGGGTGCTTGGAAGGTCTGAGTGCCTCCGAGTGTTCAAACCCCGCTGGCTCCGAACACCTGGCCTGGCCCTCAGTCCCTGGGAAGAAGCATGTGACCGCGTGTGCTCAGTGACGGTGGCGCATTTGCACAGGCTTGTGTGCGTGCCCACACCCAGAGTCTCAGCAGCACAGCAAGAGCATTATCAGGCCGGTGTTTTCTTGGATTCACTAAGTGAAGATGGGCCGAGGCCTCTGGAGAGACCTGTCTACAAGCTGAGCAGCTGCGTCGGGCAGGGAGACACTGTGCCCCAGACACAGGAGGAGCGGCCCCGAGGAGCATCCGCCAGTCAGCCCTGGGGGGGGGCGCCTGCCAATGCAGGGGTCATGGGTTCGAGCCCTGGGCTGGGAAGATCCCACATCCCGGGCGGGGGCGGGCGTGCAGGGTCCTAACGGGGAATTCCTGGCTCTAGACGCCACACCCCACCCACACCCACGGAAGACACTGCTCTGTCACAGACTCGGGCTACGCCAGGACACAGCCTCCCAATCCACGGCCAGACACCAGCCAATGCCGATTATTCAGGGCTGGCTCATTCAACGAAACCTCTCGGCCAGCCTTGCCAAGGGTTGCAAAATGCCAAGGCCACAGCCAGCTCCCTCCTCAAAGGCAGCCCTGGGGCACGGAAGAAAGACAGGCACCCAGTACGGACAAGACGAGGAGAAACCCCCACACAGGCAGAGCCATCACGGACCCACCCTGTGAACCCACAGGCTCAGAAACCCCAGACACAGCCATTTAGAAACAGAGTCACACACATGTGCTACACAGCATACCCGGACGCTGACCACACCCCCCAAAGACACTCAGATTCACACAGGCACATGCCTGTGAACACACACACAGGCCCGCTCTGGGAGGGGAGGTCAAGAGAACACTTGACTCAAGCAAAGCACTTTGTGCACACCCATGGCCAGTGAGGCAAGAAGCACATTCTCCACAGAGACTCTCTGCTGGACGAGCCCCGTGAGGCCAGCCAAGCCCGGCCACGAGAAGGGCCTCAGGGCTGCTGCCCTCGCATAGCTGCCTGGCCACATCCGCCAGGGCCTGGGCCCCGGCAAGCAGCTCCTGTGTGCTCACGTCAGCTCAGCTCTCTTTTACTGGCTCAAGCCCGTTCACGGTAAAAGTGAAAACATGCCACATCCAGAATCACAGCTCTGGAAAGTGCGGGAACAGGAGGCATCGGGGCTTCTTTTTGGTTTTTTGTGCAGTTTTCAGGTTTAACCTAATCGGCGTATATTCTTTATGACAAAAAGGCTTATTTCAAGAAAAATCCGTATCTTCAAGCTCAAGCTAGGGGGCAATCGAGAATGAAACGGACTATGGATGACAACAGAATTGAGCACTGGTTAGGACAACGCGGGTGCCCACAAACACCTGGGTGTCTTCACGCTGTGCCCAGACGGGGGTTCGTTAGTCAATATAACGCCTACGCCCGTCCTGCTTAGTGCCCACCCTTCAAGAACCGCCCTGAGCGGGGCACAGAAACGCAGGGTGGCCGCAACCTGCCCCTGCCCCCGCAACCCTGCCAGGTCACAGGTCAGAGATCACAGGTGACAGGCAGGAAGTGCAAGTCCCCTTCCGGCTCAGTGGCTGCCTCTGCGGGCCTGGGGGCGGGGGAGGGCGGAAGTGACGTGGGCTGAACACCAGGCATGTGGACGTGAGCCCCGTCTGCCCACCAGGCACGTGGCTGGTACACCCTCGTGGCTAGAGAGTCCCCACTGGAGACAGGTCCAGGGTCACATGCGCCCCACAGGGTCTCGGGGTTAAAGGAAACCATGCAGGCCAGCCCACTGGGCCCCGGCCTGCAGCCAGCAGGGGGCGGGGAGCGGGGGTCACCCCGGAGGTGCCAGGCCCCACGTCCAGACCCGTGGGAACCAGCAGGTGCCAAGCCTGAGGGCCCCCGAGTGCAAGGAGACCCCCGGGCTCTGCCGGGGCCACGGGGGAAAGTCTACAGGGTCCCAGGATCTGGCACAGTACCAAACCAACGAAAATAAAACTGAGAGAGAAAATAAAATTCCCTCCCAAAATCATTCAGCAGCTGAAAGGAAAGAAGTTCACTCTTAAAACCCCCAAACTAGTAGCCTCAAAAATGCAGCAGAGCAATCTTAAATAAACACAGGAAACGTAAGGAGAAAGAAATCATGAGGAAAAGGACGAGAGACACAAAGGAGCAAAGTAAGATACACATGAAGTAACAAGGGACTCCAGGACTAAAAGGAACAAGGAAAGGAGACTGAGTAACTGAACAACGGGAGAAAACATCCCTCACGTAGGAAGACCTGAGCCTGCAGGCTGAGGCCCACTGGGTTCCTGACCCCAGGCAAAGGGAGTTACAGGCGACACCTTGTCTGTGCCAGGAAACGAGAGGACCGGGCAGTGACACCCACAGAACAAGAGACAATGACCACAGCAGCAAAAGCTCCCTGAGAACCACGGAGGACACCCGAGTATGACCGGAAGCCAGTCCCCCACCTACACACCCGTCTAAGGGGGCAATAAGGAATGACAGAGCAGGGCTGTGACAAAGCAAACCGCTGTGTGCTGCGCAGCGACTGCAAGGTGAGAACCTCTACGTGACCGTGCGTGTGATGGAAAGGCTAAGTCAGGATTTCTGCGCCCGGGGCAAACACAGGGACTAACAACAGCCGAGAACTAAATCCCCCAAACCAGGAGTGGGGAGCAAGGAGGGCAAATACTGCAAAGGTCACATCTTATGGGTTGGGGGTAGGGCAGAGAGATGGGGAACAGGGCGATTTCCTTATGGAGATAACGCATCTTGGTGGTACAGAGGGTACAGGAATACACTAAAATAGTAAAGAAAATCTTTCTAATTCTGGGAGCAGGGAAGGGAAGGTAACCATTTGTGGAACAGAAATGGGAGGGATCAGAAATTAGCAAAGGAGGAGAGGGTGATAAGCAGCAACCGGATCAAAGCAGCAAAGCTGGGAGAACGGAGGCCACGGTGTGAAATATCGACAGCAAATGTGAAGGAGCGAGGAAGGAAAACGTCACGCAGGCCAGCCCTCACGCTGAACGGAGACCGACTGGATCCCTCCGTTAGGGACAGAGACCGTAAGACTGGGTTAAAAAAGAAAAAGCAAAACCCAGCTAAATACTGCATGTAAGAAGAACACTTAAAATGCTTAAAACGATGAAGAGTTGAAAATGAAAGGAAAGCAAAGATACCAAAGCAACGCAAGCTGAAAGCCAAAACCCGTGGTAGTAACAGAAAGTACGACATCGGCTGTCAGACGAGGAACTGTCCAGTGGAGGAACTAAACGGATAAAGAAGGTATTGTGTGATGATGAAAAGCATATTTTACAAAGAAGATGTAGCCGTCATAAACTCCACATCTACCAAAGCATATGGTGGCTGAATACATAAACAAGAGCCACGAGAAATACAGGAGGAAAGCATCAAGGAAACGCAAATCGAAACCATATGATGATTTATCGCCTCACACCTGTCAGGATGGCGATTTCCAAACAAGACAAAAGACAAGTGCTGGCGAGGACGTGGAGAAACCGGAACCCTCGTGCACCGTTGATGGGAATGCAAACTGGTGTAGCCGCTGTGGATAACAGTATGGAGGGTCCTCAGAAAAGTTAAAAATAAAACTACCTGATGATCCAGCAATCCTACTACTGGAAAGAGAGAGAGAGAGAGAGAGAGAGAGAGAGAGAGAGGGAGAGAGAGAGAGCGAGATCTCCAAAATAATTGAAATCAGAATCTTAACGAGATCTGAGCTCTCCATGTTCGCTGCAGCACTATTTAGAATAGATAAGATGTGGAAACAACCTAAGTGTCCACTGGCAGATGAATGGATAGAGAAAATGTGGTCTCTACACACCACAGAATACTACTCAGCCTCAAAAGAGAAGGAAATTCTGCAACATGCGCCAGCATGGACGGAACTTGAGGACGTCACGCTAAGTGAGACAGGCTTCCTTCAGAAAGAAAAAGACTTCATGACTGATTACACGCACGTGAGTATCATCTAAAATAATGAAATTCATAAAACCAAAGCCCGGGACGGTGGTGACCAGGGGCTGCTGGGCGGGAATGGCGAGCTGTGATGAACAGGAACAGAGTTTCAGTGAAGCAGGATGAACAAGCCCTGAAGACCTGCTGCCCAGCAACACAGCACCTGCCATCAACAGTGATCCATTGCACACTTGGAATTGGAGAGGATGGATCTCATGATGTGTTCCTGCCACACACACACACACACACACACACACACACACACACACACACAATTTTAAGGAAAAAAAATACAAGGGAAACTTATTAATAAAAAAGTAAAATGAAGTGGGAACGTTCAAAACACGTCTTTCAGAACTGAACAGACCTAGTGATAAAACACAAAGACCTAAAGAACTGGAGAACACAATCAATAAACTTGATTTTAAGAGACACCCATACAAAAAGACCACTCTTCAAAACAGAGCATAGGCTTTCCGTCAGTGAAACTTTTTAAAATCAGTCGTGAACTTAGAGTTTGAAAATTTCTAAACTTGGAGGTTTACTGGCCACATTTCCCAATCGGTATCTGATAAAATTGGATGTAATAAAAACATGATGAAAATATCTTGCTACTTATAAATTAAGAAGCACACTCGCAGATAACCTTTGCCTCAAGAGGAAAGTAAAGAAACGGTTATCTGGAAACCAGTACAGAGGGCGCCTTCACAGCAAAGCTTTGTGTAGAGGAAAATATGCAGCCTTAACTGCTTCTGCTGTTAAAGAAGAAAAAAGAAGTTACACATTTTCAGAAGTTAGAAAAATAACAATAAAATAAATCAAAATAACGTAAAAAGATAAACCTAATAAAGGTTAAAAATAACAATAATAAAATTGAAAACAAAAAATAGAAGAAAGGAAATCTACAATCTGGTTATTTCAAATGATCATTAATACAGACCAACCTCATATGATCCTAATTCAGGAACTAGAAAGCAAAGGTCAACATACTAACAACTGGAAAAAAGCAAAACCAAACTCAACACACTCTAGGCAGTCTCAGAGCTCTAAATAGCTTCTGCAGCCTGAATGCCAGAGCCCAACACATAAAGCACCCACCTGACACCCCACTGCATCTCCAACATGCGTCTCAAACTCAGCACCTCTGAACAGAATTCCGGACATCGTCCCCCAGAACGCACGTGTCCCAGGTCCCATCCTCCCAGGGAGGGCTACTCTGTGGACACTTCCTGCAGAGCTGTCCTTGACGTCTCTCTCTTTCTCTCACACCCACGTCTGACCGGTCAGCAAATCCTGTGGGCTTGTCCTCAAAATAGATCTAGAATCCAACCACTTACCACCCCTGTGGCTGCCACCAGCTGCGGGGTCTTCATAGCGGCCTCCGACCTGGTCCTGCTCCTGCCCTCTCTGCACGGCAGTCTGTCCTCAGCGCCCCGCAGGAGCCAGATGCTGCCTCCCCTCTGAAGACCACCCTGGCACCCAGAGTCCCCTGACCCGGTCATTTCCTCTCCTGCTGCCCCCACCCCGCCCAGCCCCCTCCA